CAAAGGGGAGCAACTCGTGGAGAGGTCAGTAATCAGGCAAGAAATATTGACCATTACCCACAAGTCAACAGGATAAATACCGTCGGAAATGCCGTTGCAACTTCCGGTTCAACTCAAGGTCAAGGACAACGTCAAGCCCAGAATCTAGTTCAAAGTCAAGTTTTACTTCAAGATCAAATAAACGGTCAATTTTTAGCTGAGATCAAAGGAAAAATCGAAAGTTTGCTCCAAGATCAAATGCAGGGGCAACTCCAAGAACAACTTCAAGGTCAACTTCAAGGTCAACTCCAAGGTCAACTTCAGGGGAAACCCCAAGGTCAAGCTACTTCCGCTCCAATCCCAGTTGAAATAATCGATGTGGAGGAACCGGAAGTGGCATTGCTTCCAACCGGCAATGAATCGCTAGCAAAACCAACTCAAAAACCAACTCAAAGTCCAGCGGTGAAAGAAAAGTCGACAGCTTTGCCTGTTGATGCTGAAGCTGAGGAAATATGAACTCTCATCTCCATCAACTGAGTAAAATTTTGCAACGATGTAACCTACAATTTTAAATTTCGAAGTCAATACAACACGCCTTGTACAATTCTTGATTATTTCGAAGCAAGGGGAAATATTCTACCTTGCTCTATCAAGAATTGTTTTCGCTAAAAATATTTATTTTTCGTCTGAAACCTTTTCGAAGTTTTATATTGTGAACAGTCATAAAAGATTGTGGTCGTATGAATATTCCTCTGTATTTTCCTAATAAGATATGTGAGTATATCTGTATTAAGGAATCTCTTTTCAAAAGAGTTTCACGATAAGTCACGTGTTCGCTGTAACTTGTGCTATGGTAGTTTTTGTACGAATTTGCTGATTAATCCTTGAATTTATTTCTACTATCGTGCTGGTCATGAAAAACTCACTTGTTAAGTTTTGTCTAAAAATATTTGAATAATAAAATATTCAGCGTAAACCTGTGTTTTATTCTTTATCAAGTATGTCTGCTATTTAAGAATTATAATTTATGAGTATTTTTATAAGTATTGAGTAGGGCTGCAACGATATGGTAGCATGATGATACTATTTTTTTCTCGATACTGTGGTCACGATACGATACGTATCACGATACACATCGTTACAGTAGAAACAAAGCGAACAGATGTGTTGAACATTTTTAATGGCAATATTACAACAGGAATTATAATTGGTCCAAAATGAGCATGACTTTAAAATGTTAACTATTCACGTCTTCCAACGTACATGCCGATCTAGAGCTGTCACTCGCCATGTCGGAACTCATATCAGTAGACTAAATTCAGAAACGACAAAATCCGGAAAATATCGTAGGTGTATCGTGACCTCCCAAAACTATGGCATATTGTACCGTATTCAAGATATCGTGATATATCGTCGCAGCCCTAGAATTGAGATCAAGACAGAGACTGAGGTGCCTGGTTCAATAAATTACTGACGTTACCATTAATGTATCATACAACTATGTAGATTGGAATACAAAAACTGTTTCTATTCTAAGGACACAGCAAATACATTTTCCTCTTTTTTTTAATTAAAACAAAAATAGATACTACACTTTGGTTGTTTGTAATATTGAAAAGACATTTAATGCTTTTTAATTTTGAATTCTAAAATTTCAAAAAAAAAAATTAGTTATTGCGATCCCTGAGCATTATTAAAACAATATTCTTTACTTCGTATGTTATATTTCACTTAGAATTATAAATTTGTTTTCAAAAAACAGCGACAGACGCACAGACAAAAATATATACATGATATTTTATGTTATCAGGAGAACGCTTTACGACACAGTCGGCATATTCAAATTAAAAACAGAAGAAAAAAAAAGAAAAAAAAAGTCTCGAAATACAATCTTCGAATGCTGCCCTTGTCGTATACAGTAGGCTAATAGTGGTATCCCCTGAATGAAGAAATGTGCAGTGTTTATTTCATGTTTTTAGCTATTTTTGTATCTGGAGTTGCCTTTGAGTTCTAATTCAAACTATAAGTTTCATACTTATGATGCTGTATCTAATATATATACCAAAAAAAATAAAAAAAAAATCCGTCAGGTTCACATAACAAAGCGTCGATTTCACTAAACGTTCATAGTTGTATTGGTCATGATGATAAGCGTGGGTTAACCGTTTGTATCTGATATTGTACCGCTAAAAGCCGGCTGTGACAAATTTGCTCTGGGCATTCGCAGTCTTGACACAGAATAACCTTGGGCAAAATTATCTTGTACACTGGTAATTAAAATGTCATCTATGTCGTCGCAGGGGAACCAGACCGGCGCAAACCTATCTAGCTAGACTCGAACATATCTGGTCATTAATTTGTGCGTGGTCATCTGACCGTAATATAACTGACCACCGTAGTTGTGGATAACATCACAGGGATCTGATGATTTGTTACAGCTATATCTTGACCTACACTAAAGTGTTTAGAGTATATATATATTTCGTTTAAATGTTTTAGATCCACTTTCGGTAAAAGTGCCACCCGAATGACTCTGGACACCTTAGTGTATGTCTAAACATATCTGTAACAAATTAGCAGGTTACCTGTAGATCCAATGAGGAATCAGGGGTTCAGGATCCCTCCTCAAATGCCTTGATTATGCATCTTGTAATTGTGGACATCAATGTGAGAAAGCCTTTCACTGCTTTTACAAATAAAAAACGTATTATAAAGCAAAATTGTGTTCTATGAATGTTAAATATCTGATTTGTGTATTTTTTTTTAATTCACAACTTTGATATTTACGAAATTATTTTTAGGTATTTGCATAAATTAATCAGAGCAAGTAATCAATATATTTAATCTAATAATTTACCTTTTCCAATGTAACTATGCTATTGAAAAATGAATGTTGGGAGAAGGCGTTAAAAAGATTTTACAATTTTTGCTAATCCTTTGTTTACACATTTGACAATGTTTAAACTAAACGAAACCCCAACCTGCCAATTGTCTGTATCTTTTACCCATTTTGAAAATATAGAAGAGGAAGATATCGAAGAAAAGTCGTTTCCATATGTACATGTTTCTAAATTTTATATTTAACACCTACTTAATGAAGTGTTGTTTGTATTCTATAGAATGAGAGTAAATCCTCCGTCTATTATACACGCCAAAACACCGGTGTCCACTTCCGGAATAAAAAGAGCCATCTATTTGGTTCAACTAAATCACTAAACATCGGGTTCAGAGGACGATTCCTAACCACTGCAATATCAAACTATGTTTATCCCCCGTTTTCACCGAAACGGGGGATATTAATTTGGGTTTGTCCGTCTGTCTGTCACGCTTCGTTTCCGTGCAATAACTGCAACAAATGTTAACTGGTGTTCTTCAAACTTGGTACCAGGGGCCTGTTCGACCTGCAAATGTGTATGCAGGCATTACAAGGCTTTGTCAAAGCTCGCCTGATGGCAGCATCAGAATACCAGGTCCGACCTGATTTAACCCTTGAATAACGAAAAACGTCATTATCTGCCGTTTCCGTGCAATAACTGCAACAAATGTTAACCGATTTTCTTCTAACTTGGTACCAGGGTTAAATGCCTTAAGGACTCGATGACCATTTTCAGCAGACTTTATTTTGCAGAGTTGGGGACCCCTGAATAACGAAAAACGTCATTATTTGCCGTTTCTGTTCATTAACTCTCACAAATATTTACACTATGCTTTCTTCAAACAGTTTAATTTACACCGTAATACCTACATGTTCAATAAAAAGTCTTACTTCTGCATGACCTTGCCTCAATAAAGTTTACCTACAATACGTCCTGAAAGCGGGGGATATAAATCCCACGAATTTGCTTGTTCCCAGTTGACACAAAATCAGTATATATTTTGTACTACGTGTAGATTAAAACAATATGTCGCATTAGGGGTTTTCAATAGGGTTCAACATGCCCCCTTAAAAGATGTTATACCGTCACTGTACCCTAATCGGGACAGTACCCAAAACGGGACATTTATTGGAAAACGGCAAAAGAAACTGTCATTCAATGCAAAGAAGTACTTTTATGTATACAATTTTCATTTGATAATACTTTTATGACAATTTAACTATCTATAAGCTTCATTAGCTGTTGATTATCGTTACATGAACATTGTTAAGGTAAGAATAATTACCAAAACAACGCTTTCCCGATCTCCGGGCCGTGCGACGCTATTTATTTGGATATCATTTTCAAAAGTATATTTTATCAAAACTAATGCTTGTTTGGAGAAGAATTTTAATCATTTATGGCCAATGACGTGCTGACCGTATTGGGTCCAAATGTCCAGTCATTGATTCGGATCACCAGAACAGCGTTGAAACTTCTGTTAACAGATATCGGTACAATGCGTTTAGAGTAATTGTAATTCACAAGTATATCTTCATGTTTTAAAGAAATTGATTAACTTGTTCAAAATAACAAAAACATTGATAAATAGAATAAATGGCTTGTTACAACATCATATCCTTAAAAAATGGAATAAATTGTTCAAAAAAATAAAAACTAGAACGAAACTGCTCAGACTAACATAAAATCTTTCAGATATGAATATAAATGCTCAAAATAAGATTAAATCCTTCAGATATTGAATAAATTGGTCAAAATAATATGAAATCATTAAGAAATGGAATAAATCGCTCAAAATAACATTAAATCCTTCATATCGGAATAAATTGCTCAAATTAACATAAAATCCTTAGGAAATGAAATAAATCGCTCAAAATAACATCAAATCTATGAGAAATTTAATAGATTGCTTCAAATTTCTGCCTGTCACTTGTTGCATAACCTTAACATAGGTTGAGACCTATGATACGGGTACGCTGGGGGCATTATTTACTGAACTATATCATCAGTCTATATTTTATATAATTTTACACCGTATAACTATTTTGAACACAACACTTTTCCCTTGTGTACAGCATTTCCCATTAAAACATCATTTTTTTTATATGAATAATAAAAACACACAGAACAGGTTCTTTTATGGTGTTAAATTTCCTTTAATATTACAAATCAAGTCAAAAGTGATATCAACGTCAAGTTTTACTAGATAGAAAACCGTAATTGCTGCTGAAACAAGAACAATATTCCAGTCCCGCATTGTGCGAATGAATATATCAACAATTGTGCACATCACATATACAATGTACATGTACATCCGCTCAAAGAATGAGTTCCATTATTCGACCAATGGAAGTACAATACGTGGCCTCACCGTCTCTAAAATATATGGGATGCATGTTGTTCTGCTGCAGTTTGTATCTAATAAACATTTCTTTAAGTGACTGTCTTGATCGTTTTCTCAAAGAAATATGTTGTCTCATATTTAGCTTTGTATTAAGTATAACTAAAATTAGTTATGCCCAATCTGTGTATTTGTTCCCAATGCAATAACATAGTTACACATTGATTTGAAGAGCAAAATATTTTCGATTAAGAGCTAGATCTGAAAACCAAAATGGCCGCCAGCGGCCATCTAGGGTTTTATGAAAAAGACATATAGTTTCCATACTATAACCATCGAATAATTCCCTAGAATTTCACGTAATGTTACCCTTTCATACCATTGCTACTCAGCAAATACAATGTATTTCACGCCTTTAACATTGGTAAATTGCATAATTCCAGCTAAGATGGAGTAGCCGAAATCTTCATTATCGTTTTATTCTTGTAATTGGTCAAACACCGATCTATGCAAAATAAAACAGTTCCTCGTAACGCTTTTGTAAAAATACAATATACTATTTTTCTTTTAGTAAACTATTGCCTTCAAAAATGTTGGCGCCATTTCATGATACGACGTCGTGATGTCAGACTGATTCAAATGATTCAGATATATACTATGTTTCTTGGTTGAAATATCCCTGTACCACTGCAAGCAAAACACCTTCCTCAATGCTCAAGGGGTTACGCCCACTTTCGGTCTCTGCACCCCTGTAATATGTCATAGTAAAATTGAACGCAAAAACAATGCTGTTAGATTGGTCTCAGGATAAAAAGAACTGACCAATCGCTAGGCTGATACCTGTTCTTTGAAGATTACAAAGGAGTGACACTCGACTTCAAAGACAGCCAATGTTTACCGTTAAACGCCCGCGAAATTCTTTTGATGGGCATCAAAGGGTCAAACTAGTCTTCTTGTCTCATCAACAATGTGTCGAACACCAAGCCTTCAATTTTGCTACGGCATATTCCAGGGGCGCAGAGAGCGTAAGTGAGCTTATAATTAACACCTGGTGTATCGAGGATGGCAAAACTCTAGAAAAATCCACTGTAGGGTTATGGAAATGCAGTTTCCTCCCCCCAATTCCGTTTAGGAAAGAACTACAGTGACACTAGGTCAGTGGTATAACACTGACCAAGTCCTTAATAAGTTACAGCGACAGAATAATAATCAGAGGTCCCGGGTTCGAATCTTACTCTGGCCCTGTTGTATTTCTATATTTTCCGACCACAATTGTTGACATTTTTTTTAAAATTTCATTTTTATAATGTTTTTCGTAAAAAAACTCCCCAAGGTAAGGGATTTTTTTTCAGATTTTTTTTATTAAAGCTATATTCATGCTGGGAAAAAAGAGAATTCCAAATATTTTTTGTTGTTTTCGGCAGTGGTACGGGCGTCCTTAAATCTAGCCAAACAGCCATTAGGTGATTGCTTTTGTGAAATGAATTCAATTTCTACAACATTTATTTCTCATAAATTTGACCTAGTTTCTTCATTTGATCAGCTTAATCAAAGTAAACACTTTGCATGGACGATATGACGGCTCCGATATCGTTCAACTTTGCAAAATACACAATAAATGCTTGTAAGTACCGGTTATTTTTCGAATAATTCCATTCTATCTAATTACTGACTCTCACTCCGTTTCCCGTCTATTTACAAGTATCACGGCACATTCCAAGAACGGACGAAGTAACGTCTGAACGAGAACTGGAACGAGAACTGAATATATTAGCTGCTTACGACACGATGACGGAGTTCGCTACTGTTGTTGTTGGTGGCAACAAAGGTTTTTTAGTTTTTGTCGTAGCCGCTATTGTTGTCGTCGAAAGTCCTTCCGTTTCCATTTCCATTTCTAATTCCTCTCCCGGTACTTGCTTACTTGCCCCTCCCGCAGGAGTAGTTCCGGTTCCGGTTCCATTACCAGGTTTTGTTTTAGATTTAGCGTTGACCTTATTTCCCTTTTTGATTTGCTTACTTTTTCCCTTACTTATTGTGACGCTTGATATTTCCTTTCCTGTTTGATCAACTCGTGAAAATTGGATGTCTCCATTCGACTGCAGCAGTACGGGAGTCCCGTATCCACGTGACGCTACCGTGACCTGGTTTTTAGCCACTGGTGGGGACTGCAATTGTTTGACAGCCGATGCTGGTCGTGTCATGGTAACGATTCGTCGCGTAGAAGCCTGTTCGGCTTGCTTTGGAACTGGAACAATTAATTCCGGAACGATGTCGAGCTCGGAATCAATCAAGAACCGTGATAGTTGTTGTGTCCCTTCCTGCCCATTAAAAGAAGATATAATTGAATTTGCTAACTTCACCGAAGCAATTTTCGACGCCAATCCTATAATGTTATCGATGTCCATGTTCTCCAGCCCTTCTACGGGATCGCCATCTATTATTTCTTGGCGCCGGCTCTGTTGTTGGCGAGTCTCCTGGCGCTTCTGATACAAAGAGGAACGTGAAGGAGACACAATGATGCGCCTGCCATTTTGAACGACAACCCTTTTACCATTGTTAGATATACCTCTCGCAAGTCCTCCCGTTCTACGCCTTATGTTGGACTGCATTCCCGAGGATACCTGAAACGGATGATGTCCACCTCCGCGTTGAGATATTCTTGTCATCCTATTTTGACCAGCATTAAATCGCCCTGATTGTTGATTACCGAATCGTTGCGATTGCCGGGCAGATTGACCACTGTTCCTGTTGAAGTTTCTTGAGTTTCTCAACACGTTTCCCTCCGATATCCTTTTTCTAAGCAAACTGCCTCTCTTATTTACAGCGTTATTATTCCAACTTACCCCATTTTGATTTTGATTTGTTGCAACGCCTGCAATTCTACCATTCGAAGATCCTGGCGATGACACAGTCCGGCCGCTGGATGATCGCACACTCCCTATTCGGCCTTTTGTGGAAGTTGATGAAACACCTCTTGTGTTTCCTGACCCTCTTCTTGCACTTAATGACTGGCCTCGAAGTTGTCTTGTGTTTTGATTGACATTTTTAATACTATGTCGTACATTTCCTGCTTGTGACACCCGAACTGTGTTTTTCCCATGAATGCCACCATTATTCGCTGGCGTCTTGGATTGTACATTTGTGTTGGAACTTCTAGACAACTGCTGAACACGTGTTGCACTCCCTGATTGGGTGTTAGCACTTCCAACTCCATTCTTGCTAGCTACATTATTTAATCGTCCACGATTACCGCTAGTTGATTGTCCTGCAAAATTTCTTTGCATATTACCCATTTTGTTAACGGCATTTGCTCCGACTTTTAGAATATTTCCAACTATTCCGGTCCCTGTGCCTTTCCGCATAGAATTTCCATGTTGATTAATTTGTATTTGTCTTGAATTAAAATTATTGTTCCTTATCAAGGTTTTTCCCGTTGATGATATTCTGTTGTTATGTTTGACGTTACTTGCTAACGGTATCACTTTCCTTAATCCCTGTCGTAAACTATCTCCGAAGGCTTTACTTTCCTTAGCCCCCAAGATACCCCCTATTCCTGTTGATTTTCCGTTCGTTATTCCCACCAGGTGGTTATTGCCGTTACTTGAGCGGATGGTCTGGAAAGTGGTTCCTCCTATCTTCATAAATCGACCTGTAGTTCTGTTTAACCTCGGATTTCTCACGTCAACCTAAAATTACGAAAATAGATTATAAATAAAACATAAACTACCTTAAAATGGCAGCAATTTCCTAAATGAACGATCAAGAATAAGAAAGGTCTGATCTCAAATAATATCCATTTTGAATTTTAAGAATTTGGCAAACGTATATTTCTCCTCCTCGGAAAAACATTAAAAGAAAGAATGTTAGCACTTACTTTTGTATTTGTAAATAAAGTAATTTTGACAGATTATTGAAACAAATATGGTACCCTCCTCGACACTACAGGGGTTGCGTTCACGTTCGCTCTCTGCACCCCTGGGATATGTCATAACAAAATGAAAGGCACAGTGTGCGCCACGTTGTTGATGAGACAAGAAGACTAGTTCGATCCTTTGATGTACTTCAAAAGAATCTCGCAATCACGTAACGGTAAAGATTATAGGCTTTGAAGTCGGGTCTCGCTCCTTTGTATCAGCCGAAAGATTGGCCAGTGTTTTTTTTTACCTTATACCAATCAAACAGCTATATTCGTGCCTTCAAAACGCCATAATATATATTCCATGGGTGCAGAGAGCGAAGGTGAGCGAGAGTATCGAGGATGCAATGGCACTGGCATGATACAGCCTATTTTAATATGGTTGTACAGCGTTTGGGTATGACACCCTTGTGTTGATTTCAATAATTTCCAAAAAATACTTTTACAATGCTATTCTGCAGGTATGTAGAAATGTGTGCAAGTTTACAACTGCAATTCCCTAGGTATGATAGCTTCCTAATTTCCAAAAAGAAAATATTTCGTAAGAAGAAACAGATTTGAATAAATTTCAGACCAACAACTGTTGCTGCAAAAGGAGCATACCTTACATAATTTCATTATCAAAGTTTACAGTACGTTGTAGCGAAAATATCAGAAATACTCATGGTATCATTTACTAGGAGACGCGATTCTGTTAAGACATATTCTGAAGGTGCGAAAGCAGAGTTCGTGGATTTCGAAGATGACAAATTTAGCATTTATGATAAGTTTAATTGATATATTCGTGGTACTTTGTATCATGTACATTTTATTATAACGAATATAAAATATTAAAGATTACAATAAATATAAAATATTATAATAGTTGTAATATTTTAAATATCTGGAAAGCTAGCATGAAATAGATATGCAATATACCAAGCAGCCATTGTTAATAACAAATAAATTAATTAAAAAAAAAATTTTTTTTTTTTTTTTTTTTTTTTAAACACATAAATTATGAAAACGATTACGGTAAACCTGTGCAACCAAAACTACTGCAGTACAACATAACTACAGCAGTTAAAATGCTTGTCAGTGAACATAATGAAAATGTTTATGAATGATCATAAAGTCAAACAATATATACCATTTTTAAATGATATCTGAACTGTCTACAAAATGTTTATTATATTACAAATAATTACTACAAAGACATAGTTATAAAGCACCATATTAAAACGTTTGCTTTTCTATGTGGAAAGCCACAAAGAATACATATATGACTGCATCAACATGGCCATTTAAGCAATAGAGTAAGGTAAGGTCTGACATGTCAGCATCTGCTATTTGTTCTTGTTTTACATGAAGCCAAGGTTTGAAGATTGGCAATGCATTCGTTGCATTTTAATGTGTACAAAAACTCGATTGCTTACATTTCATATGTTCGGAAATGTCAAACAAAATATGCTATTTCAAGATTTTCCTGCCAAAATACATGTGATATTATAAAAATTGTATCAAATCTATACGAGGACGAAGTATTAACCTAAATGTCACATTAAGCATTGTTGCTTGACGTTGATTCCTTTATCAATGTCACGCACGATATACAAGTGTTACAGTCACAAGAAATTTACTTTTGCAATCTTGATTTGAAATAAAACAAAAAACAAAAAAACATTGATGCATAGCATATAAAAAAATAACGAAGATAACTGAAGTTGGAAACAAGACTCTATAAACAAAATTTTCACCAATGTGCTTCCCTATTTCATATCCCGATTTTTCTTGATTCAGCAGATGGATTATCAGTCCTTGAGTTTGGCTGTATCATTTCAGTTGGAATTTAGTATGCCATTGTTTACAAATCATTAATCAATCATCTGTTGTTGCCTTAAGGTTAGTTTTCTACAAATGTTTCGGAACAACTTTATAATTTTAACCATTCTTTTGACATAGAATACCACGGATGAATCCAAAATAGAGCAAATGACTATATGGTACAGTACCCTGTTTGCCTTGTTTGCCTTTCCCAATCCTGATAAATAATCTTACAACATTTGGTAGCAAGCTTTATCAAGCCATATCAAGCTAAAATAAGCCACTCTTAAGCGCTTTATAGTACATTGATATACATTTTATACAATCAATACACTTACATATAAATTAAAAAAATACATTAATCAATACATTTTTTGGAGGAATTTGCAGGAGCTGCCTTATCAGGTGCTAACTCCTAGTCCTATGCCACCTTGCTAATGGAGATGTATTAGAATTCACAAAACAATATTAATATCAGTACTTGATTTCATCACATGTCTAGTTAATGTATTAAACAAATCTACCACAGAACATCAGAAAAACCATTGTATTCTTTTTTCAATGCAGTATATTCCTGGTAAGGCAGATGAAAGATCATATCTTCACCTGATTTACGATAACAGTAGTTTTATATATGGACATACGAGAATACTATCCCTCGTAATGATGAAAAAACAAGCGTGTATCATTGAGTGGGAGATCAGTCATCTTGGTATAAGGAAAAAGCATCAAGTCCTGTTAAGGAATACAGCAGACAAGGATGGAAAGTAATCATATTGTTTAGTTGGAAATTTTGGCGGGAATTTGATTTCGCTTTTTTTCGCAGTCACCAAAGATACCGCGAAATTATATATCAAACGAATATTATTACCATTAATACTTGGAAACAACAGAAAACACCTTTCTGCTGTCCTACCGGATCATGGAGATAAAACAAAAATTAATAAATCACTTGTTAAAATAACCAAATCACCGAAATAAAAATGAACCATTATAAATGCATTTTTTTGCCTGACAACATTGTACTTAATTTAATACCTGCGAACAATATCTGATCGAGACAACAGTAAACTATCAACACTGCGAAATTAACGGACTAATCATTGTTGGTAATAAGTTGAATAAACCTACAGTTTTGGTAAGGGATGCAATCGTATGCAACGTGATAGTTAATGAAAAGAACATGAATGGTTTTCCTCCTCTCGAAAAAACTGTATATTGAAGACACATTATGTAAATTTGCTAAGTGACATATTGGAAATTTGTTGTTTGACTATAATAACCAAATCCCTATTCATCCTGAACAAAATGATTTTACATTTTTTTCCTGAGGTTTCAACAGGTCAGATTTTAAAAACAAACTTATATAAATTTCTTAGAACGAGCAATATAATATTTTGGCTGGGTTTATTTTCCATTTAGATATGAATCTAAGATTAGAAGAAAAATACAAGAGAATAAGTAATTACTAAAAAAAAAATGAAGAAACCGTTTACCGAAAAAATTGTCTTAGAAGCAGAATGCTAAACAAAGCGAACATTTTGTCATTACGTCAATTTTGGACACATCAGTGGTACTCAGGTAAAACGAATGAAAATTCCATGTCTGAAGTGTTCCGAATTATATGTAGATCTACCAAAAAGGGAAAGGTGTTCCGAATAAAAGGTGCCAATAAAACTTCTGGTTAAGTTGTTCTCTCGTGTGGATCAACGTACTGTCCCTGTGTATTCGTTTCCGGTTTTTTAGGACCTTTTCCAATGAATAATGTCATAAACATGCCAGTGTGTCAGGGAAAGTAATAATTCGCTGATTTTGTGTGGCAAACACAGTACGCGGCGGCTCTGTTTTGACGAGTCTGCACCCAACGTCGATAGTTAATATGTAGGAAGATACGCCTACTTAAAATGTATATATTTTGTATTTGGAGTAAGATACAGTGGCACAGTGGCACATTGTTGATTAGTAAGTTGTGTTCAGCGAAGTTAAGCTAAGACACGGTCACCGGTTATGTTGGCGCAATAATTTAGCGCAAATATTCAAAGCGCTAAAACAAAATTACCGCTCAAATATATACGTTTACAGCATTTTGAGGAATAAAGTTACCGGGATATCATGTCTTCATATACTGTGCAGCGGTTTTATTTCGCGGTGGTTTTAATTTCGCTATATTCGCGCTTTGACTAATATCCGCGAATTCTAAATACCAGCGAAATTAATCGGAAATATCAACCCCCTTTACGGACCTTATCACAACATGTTGAGTATTCTTACATGTATAACACAACGCTGTTATCCAGACTTAAATGAACTCAAATAGGATTATCACCGGAAATCTGGGCAGTGCATGTTAAAACAACACTTACATATACACAGTAAGTGATTAATTTATTATAGTTTAGTTTAAATTTTTCTTTCTTCAATGAACAGAGAAGACAAAGGGAAAGAGGAGCAAGTGTCACAGACACTTATGTAAACCTATCACCAAGTATACTAAACAGCAACTAATATATTCAGTACGTGATAACACCATTACAGTTTACTCCAACAAAGGAACATACAAATTTGATATTCTTTTGAGTGAAGTCATTGGCGGATGACGATGCTCGGGATCAGTGTTTTCAAACGATTTACCTTATTTCGAGATTTAACCCTTTAATGATTACACTCATAATACTTTACACGACACATGGGATTAGGGTGCACAGCAAAATTTAACCCCCGCGAATATGTACTGAATAGGAAACCGCGCAATATTGACCTCGCGAATTTAAAGCGCTATACAGTACCCCTTTTCCCACTTTTTTATGTTACAGCACTGCCATGTAGAAATCAAGGTTAAAGATATCAAAGTCAACGAAGGTAAGACAAAAGGGGGAGAAAAAAATGTATAAAGATATAAAGATTACTCAATTATGAACATAACCGTATTTCAAACTTAAAATCTTTGAGGATAATCAGACCAGTTGTCAGGGAGGGAAATCGTTTGCCGTTTCCTTGACAACACCCGCCATATAAATCTAGGTCAAATCCAACTATAAATCTAGGTCAAATCCAACTATAAATCTAGGTCAAATCCAACTATAAATCTAGGTCAAATCCAACTATAAATCTAGGTCAAATCCAACTATAAATCTAGGTCAAATCCAACTATAAATCTAGGTCAAATCCAACTATAAATCTAGGTCAAATCCAACTATAAATCTAGGTCAAATCCAACTATAAATCTAGGTCAAATCCAACTATAAATCTAGGTCAAATCCAACTATAAATCTAGGTCAAATCCAACTATAAATCTAGGTCAAATCCAACTATAAATCTAGGTCAAATCCAACTATAAATCTAGGTCAAATCCAACTATAAATCTAGGTCAAATCCAACTATAAATCTAGGTCAAATCCAACTATAAATCTAGGTCAAATCCAACTATAAATCTAGGTCAAATCCAACTATAAATCTAGGTCAAATCCAACTAGAAATCTAGGTCAAATCCAACTATAAATCTAGGTCAAATCCAACTATAAATCTAGGTCAAATCCAACTATAAATCTAGGTCAAATCCAACTATAAATCTAGGTCAAATCCAACTATAAATCTAGGTCAAATCCAACTAGCATCCACCACCAAAGTGATAATTGATAATTAGGAATATAAAAAAGTCGATATTCACATCATTCGAGTAAAATAACATTTTTTCAATGAGAGTATAACTGTAATAAAATCATCAGAATACTGCCGTGTAATTTACAAATAAAAGTGCTCATATTCTTGCACATTATTTTTTTTTGACAATTTTGACGTCATTATAAAAACAATATAAATGGCTTTATGGTACAGTAGAACACCATTGAAGAGAGCCGACATGAAGTCCAGGTGGTGACGATGACAAATTGACAAATTGTCAGAAAATTATGATGTTTAACATCCTTAATAATATGATATAGCAGACATTAAATTTGTCTCCATCCCATATGAAACTTATTACGAACTAGCCAGCCGCTACACAAGAATATTCCATTGGATTCGCACATTTTATATGAAAAGGAACCTTATTCCGATCTGATATTTAACGTACACTCTGGATATCATCAACAAAGTGACAACAAAAGCATAGTTCCTAAAATTCAAACAGATCATAGACAAAACTAGGGCAAAATAGCAAAAAATACCTCGAAGCTTTTAAATACAAGGGGTGGGGGGATGCAGAAGTTTCCGAAAGCCGAGGTAAAATTCATGCAATGTCAGGTCCCCATAGCCCGAACCGGGATAGTGACGCCAAAACAAACAGGCAGACAAATGAGTACTTTCAAAAACATCGACCTGCAATGGGCGGATTGGTCGAGTGGTTGACACTCCGGCCTTCCACGCAGGCAACCGGGATTCGATCCCCGATGTCGTCGTACGCATGGAATATTTAAAGTGTTTTTCTCCTGCCCACACAACTCCAATAACCCAGGTTGAGTATAAAAAGTTTTGGGGTGGGTGTTGCAGTATATGTGAATTAGCATTCATGTGAGGTAGCACTATCTATTATGTTGATGGAAACACGGTCACTCTACAAAAATAACACAACACATCACCAGACCACACGCAGGCATACACACATAGGGAAATATTAGCCAGGTGGCATATGACGAGTAGTAAGCGCCTGATAAACAGCTCCTGCCAATTCCTCAAAAATTGTATTGATTAATGTATATGGTAATTTGATTGATTGTAAATTAAAAAATGTATATCTATGTACTGTAAAGCGCTTTAAAGTGGCTTATTAAAATTGTTGCAGGATAGGGCGCTATACCAAATGCTGTAAAATAATAATAGCATACAAAGAAAATATTCTAAATAGTCAATGATACAGACATTGCATCAATTGCAATATAATCTAAAACATGTTAAACATTAAATATATAAAAATCCTAAATTAAAAAAGACGTTTTTTATTTTTTTTCTGTATATCAAATTGTATCATTTTGATGATAGCAAGCAATGTACAGTGCAATGCAAATTACGTCACATTCACAGGTCTACAATTTGTAGTGCTATTGATGCAAATTGCAACGCCAATGTAATAGGATATAGATTTATCACATAATGTACTGTGTTATCTAGTGAATATACCCATGACATATATTTTTGCGTATCAACCCATGAAATATGACCTATCATCCCTGTGATTGGTTGTATGTTTTAATTGTTTCAATTGTGACGTCACGCCTATGACAAGTACATGACGTCAAAAACTTACGCACTGGAGTCAAAACGGCGGCGTTTTAAATTTCAAGGTTGCATGAAATTTGTCGTTTTGCACGAATACATGCCACAAAACTTGATTATGTGATTAAAAAGGAACTTATACTCGTTTTCATTGCATATGAAATTTATGAAACTCATCACGAAATTTTCATTTTGGCTCGCTCGATTGAAAAAGTCTTAGTCTGGTTTCATAAATCTCATATGAAATGGAAATATATGCAAGATCCTATATATCTGATCATAATTATCAATATAAAATAAAACTTAAAATCTCCATCAAGATCTATTTGTTTTGTTTTTCTTAATATGAAATTAATAACATGAAAAACCCAGAAAATGTGTTTATTGGTTAGAAAAGAGAAAAACACAAAAAAAATAAAAAATAAGCGCGAACAAATAGGAAAGAATACTACAAATACACAACGGTCTAACTAATTTTTCGATTAAGATGTTTCTTTGAAACTATAAATAAAATGAATACAAAACGATAAAAAAAGATAAATGATTAATTTGATGTAATGGGTTGGCAGAGAATGATACAGATTTAGCTTTTTTGAAATAATATATACATTTTAGTTACTTTATGGATATTGTATATTTCTGCTCATTAAATACGTGAAACGAGGACAAAAAGAGTATATCTTTTCATAGTAAACTCAAGCTTACACAACCACCAACGAAAATAATTCAAACAGAGAATGGAAAAATGCTAATATGCAAAACAAGGCATGCACATGCTTAGTGGTACTTTTGATATTTCACAATCAGTTGTAAGGAAATATATTCAATTCATTAAATTAGTTTTTTTCAACACAATGAGCAAAAACTGCACTTTTTTATTTTGGAATTGATGCTTTACAAAAATAGCAAATAGTGTTAAACACTAACAATCCCTTTCTTAGAAAATAAATCAACTCAGATTTAAACTCATCATACGCTACAATTGTAGCTTCAAGAAGAATCTAGTTAGAGGTCTAAATGCACTTACCTTACTTGGAAACGAACTTGACACCCTGACTGTAAATACAGAAACTACAAACAGAGATATTAGCTGGAATTTTGTAGATGGTCCCATTGTTGTGTCCGTACCCGTTAACGATCCGGAAGGGGTGTGGACACCCCAGGAAAAGGGTCTGACACGTTAGGAACAAACTATCCTGCAGTTGGAATGTCACATATATCAGTGGTCATCACGTGCAGGCATGCTTCACGCTTTTCCGGCCAAAACCCGAATAATTTTATCATAAAAAAATATCCGTGTTCGCTCTGCTGTGGAAAGAAGATAGGGGAAGAGATTTATATCTAGATTGACCTACTTTCACCGCATTGAGTAGTTCGTTCGCAGAGGTGTTTAGGTGTATTCGGACACAGTAATGACCACTGGAATACGTGAATCGTGCTTTTTACTGTATCTGCTATTGACAGATGTGTCATAGTTATAAAATGACTTCCTGTCTTCGTTATCACGAGGTTGGAAATACTCTAATGATATTCCCAAATTGAAATGTATCTTAAGAATTTTTTATCATATTTGCAATTCCAGAGTATTAGCAATATAACTGTGCGGGGATGATTTGTCAGAGAAGGGATTGCCCACGTTTATTGTGCAATCACTAATTTTCGGGATTTTTTATTTCATTGATTTCGGGGGTAATTTTCATCCACGATTTTGGCATAAAACAGCTCTATCAATTAGAGTGAGTATTTGTAATCCACGAATTCATGTTCCCACAAAATGTCAGTTTTTCGGGAAACCACGGGTTTTGTCCCCAGGAAAATATCTGATTTCCGAATATTGATAATGACTGCAGCTATTAAAATCACTACAAAATACACAAAATTAATAATTGTACTGTATTAAACAATATACTCCAGACACTGACCATGTCTCAAACGGGAGCCATAGTCGGCACTGTGTGGACGCCGCATTACACAGTGCCGATTATGGCTCCCGTTTGAGATCAGACAGCGCTACAACACGAACAGCGAAATAGTCTGATTATTATCCTCAATAATCTAGAATGTCCTACATTGTCTGAACGCAGTCGTATACGTACGTAACAGAGTCTTACGGATCGGGAATGGTCCGGAGAGGACTGCCAAGCACTCCGGACAGTTAGGTGCGTCCCGTAACATTCGGGAAACTCAGCCGATTTTGTCTAGTCGGATTACAATCGTGACTATGTCGTGACAGATTCTGCTGTATCGGATCAAAATCGTAACAATATCCTGCGTTGTCTGGACGGTGTCTTGACGTTGTCGTGTGGATCGGCCGCTGTCGTGATGAATGAGCAAGATTTGGAGAAATTTGTCATTGCCGTTTCTAGCCGATTAAGTCCAGATTGCGTTCGGGAGAATCGGGACGTTGTCGAGACAGATTCGGTTACAAGTCGGATCAGATTCTGATTGAGAACGGGAGAATCGGGACCAATTCGGCTGGAAACGGCTGAATCGGGACGCTTCCTAAACAATATCTGATTGTTGTCGCGATTAAATAAATGTTTTCAAAAATTTGTGAATTTCGCGCCTCGAATCACATGATCTTGATCAGACTGTTGACAAAATTTAATCGGGAGTGGTTCTTTCAAGGACGGCAGTAAAAATCCTGAATATGTGACTGAGGCTTTAGATTCTATATATAAATATTGGTTTCAACAAAATCAGCTGATCGGCAAAAATCGAACATTTGAAGTGTGTGTGTAAGCTGGAGTTCTGGCTGGTCCTTTTTATCGATTTCTGTCCGATACTAATATTAAAATTGTTAAAGTTACGAAAGGTGAGGTAATTTTTTGGTATTGTAGTCGATCGTAACCTGAATATATGAATTGAATGGATTTTATTCATGCACATTGCGGCAATGACTAGCAGTAGCTGACTGACATATCTTCTTCGGAGCACTAACGCGCTCCACAAGATACATTGTGTATGTAGATCAGCTACTGCTATGCATTGTCGAAATGTCCATACAAAACAATCCATTCAATACCTATGTGATCAATCAAAATACATATGTATATGTAAATAAACCAAAACACGAAGACTAGTATAATCGGCTAGCGCTTTCGCCCATCTTGGGGCTCTTTTGAGCATGAAGAGCCCCAAGATGGGCGAAAGCGCTAGTCGATTATACTAGTCGTCGTGTTTTGCTTTATTTATATTTTTTACCGTCACATGGACATTTAAAACTATTTATCGCCATATGTTTATATATATTAACCGTTATTTTGAAATTATTCGACTGTTTTTAAAGTCTTTTGAACGCTAGTGTCCTATCCATTTGTCAGGAGAAAGATGAACCCGCCGGTCCATGACTCTGCTGCCGATAGGCTCAATTATCTATTTCATCAAGTGGGCAGAGAGTTTTTGGAACAAATAGCAAGGTGCGAGACTGTGACCATGGAGGTCTTGAGGAACACTGACTATGAAAAGTTCTTTTTTACACAACCAATAAAATTGTCTATGTGACGTTTCGATGACTAGTACGATATGTACACTGTCACCTTCATCAGAAAAATGGCCAGTGAAGCGTATGCACACAACGGTGTAAAATGTATACGAGTTGTCTACAAAATTGATGTACAACAGTTGTTATACATGTACCGAATTGACTCGATCCAGCTACGCTTTGTTTTATACTTGGTCATAGATGTGCGAGAGTCTTTGAGGCCCCTCGTCTCGATTTAGAACTGGCCCACTGCGGCGTATCAAGATGGCTCCCTTGATCTTCCACTTGAACAGATTGCTCTCTCTGTCCAAAATTTGGAGTTATCCCAGTCAATCACACGATAATTTTGTGTGTCATGGTCTGTTATTGCCGATTAATTTATCTGGGACTTCGATTGCTTCCTTTCTGATCTGGCCATTTTCAATATCAACATGAAATTTTCATCGAGGACAGCGAATTAACGGTTTATAATGCAATGACTTCAGGACGGGGTTTGGTGGGGTGATTGTGTCTGTTCTGTACCTATAATAAAACGAGAAGTTGTAGATTGCTTGCTCTTGATTCAGTTTACTTCATCAGAGTGCTAAACGATTCAAGGGTCTAAATTAACATCAGTGAGCTGCATAGGTTTTGTACATGCATAAACGTTTCGGCTAAGAGGAAAGAGGGTTTGACAGCGTTTGCAAAATGATTACAATTTTTACCGTTACGCGACCGCGAGATCCTTTTGATGTATATCAAAGGATCGAACTAGTCTTCTTGTCTCATCCGCAAGGTGGTGCACACCGAACCTTCAATTCTGCTATGAATTATTCCAGGGGTATAGAGAGCGAAAGTGAGCGTGACCCCTGAATATCGAGGATGATGTATCAGATGATGTCGGTTTCTTATAAAATGGAACAGCACCGTTTATTGTTATGACGAATTTTATTAGATAGTACTTTTACCATGTACGACGTAATACAATTCGAAAAGTACTATTTCCGAAATGCACTCACCCATATTACTATGATAATAAACTAGAATGACGTTGTAAACCCAAAAATATCCTTTGACAGTGTGACTGGCGCGAACATAAGAAACATGCATTTCATTTATATTTTCAACGTAAAAGTGAATAAAAGATTTGGAAAAAGAATCTGATACCTAATTAAACCATTGATGTTACACTTCGGTAGCTTAAGTATAGAATTATGCAAATGATTTACATTTTCATACAACTACTATAAAGAAAATATGATTTAAACACTGATTTGAAAACAGAACAAAGATTTTTAAAAACAAAAAATATTCATTATATTAGATAAAAAGGTACACAAATTTACATACCACAACGAAAAGAATGAAAAGAAAGGATGTATACATATTATGTATATTTATACTACAAAGTTTGAAATCACAACATAGATATAACTGTTTAAATTTTCCTATTCATATAATTATTGCAAAGTTCCCTCCTTCAAACCAGCAAACTACTGTAAAATCATAAATTTTCGTGGGACATTAAATTTCGGTTTTTTCGTGGATAACAAAAAATCCACGAAATTAAATCCCCACGAAAACATAAATTTGGTATGATATAGATAGGGGAACACCAGAAATCAGCGAAATATAATGTCCTTGAAACAGGGTAGTATATGAAAAACACGAACTTTTAACCCCTTGGAAATACATGATTCTACAGTATTCCATTTTCAGAGAAACATAATGCTTATAATTGTCAGTGCAATTCATGTGTAGCACAATAAAAATCAGTACGTGTATACACGTAAGTGTTAAATATTTAGGATAGCAATTTTGAGGGTCCCTGTCAATCTGCTAATGACTGTTGTAAACCGTTTATCCGGCAAGGCTATAGCTTTAATACATTATTTCTGAAAAGAAAATCATACCTTACGGGACTTTAATGAGAAATATCAAAGATTAAATGAACAAAAAATGATCAGCAAAAGTGTTCAGAGTGGAAGAAAAGGAACCAGTAGGGGTAGACCGGAGTTCGAACCCTGTAGTGCAGATTGCTATGATATCTCTTTCACAGACTCTGCTACCTGATCAATGGAAATTGCATTGACCCAAATGCGCTACAGTTATTTCCAAACGGGAGTTAAAGGGAGGTTACTGTATATATGGGGAAGAAACACAGTGCAGTGGGTCAGGGATACTAAAATTGCGTCGTCATGTTTTAGATCTGGAACTACATTTGTGTTTCATAAATGTAATTCCCCTCAATGTTTTACTGCTGAAAGCAAAGAAGCTATATTCAAGTCATTTTTTATATCGTACACACCAATCGTTGTCATGTCAGCTTCTCACATAGGTGACTAAACTGGCTGAAAACTCTTGACAGGCGTGTGGTCAGTGTTGGTAGGTGGTCAAGTAAGGTGATGGACAACTTGACATGGATATTTTCACTGTCGGGTTTATATTTTGCCTATTTTGTTATTCGTAATCAGTTATTTTCAATTACAGAAAAACCTTGATATTCTGTCAAGCGGAAAACAAACTTTGGCAGTATAAAAAATATTGAGGGAAATGCATAAAGCATCATAAAGAAAAGATAATAAATTGACCTTCAATTAGTTAGAGGTGATCAAGGTGGCAAATGAAACGGAGGACATTATTTCGACTTT